GGTGCTAAGGATTTAACCCAAGGCCACACCTGCGAGGCAAGCGCTCTACCACTGAACTATGGCCCCAGCCCCATGTACCACATTTGATTGATCCATTTTGTTGCTGATGGAAATCTGGGATATTTCAGTGTTTTACTGTTATAATGTTGCTATGAACATTTGTTTAATTTCATCTATGAACACATATCGCCAGCTAGCCGGACTGGCGACCTGAGCTGGCTTCACAAGAGCTGACCACGTCAGTAACTAAGAAAACAGCAAAGAAAGCACACAACACACAGAAATACGTTTTGCTTGCAGGAATCAGGGATGGCTCTCAACCTTAAAGGTCCACTGGAAAAGAGAGAGAAAGCACACTTGAGACCCTATTTATTGAAGGGAAGACACTTGAGAAAGTTCCACCCAAATGAGGCAAGGGATTGGGTTTCAGCGGGGTGTAGCCCAGGAATGCCCACTCCCAGAGCTGTAATTCTTTGTGGAGCAAAGGTGAGGTCCGCCTGCTTTGAAGCCAGTTTCACACATCCATTACTCAAGGCTCAGCTCCTACGTGCTCAGCTCCTGTTTATGGCAACCCCCAAGAAACACACACAAAAGTACCTCTAGGTAAATATTGAGGCAGAGGTGGGGAGGTTACAATAGGTTGTAGAGAGTTTAAGATCAGCTTTATAATACTAAGGTTTTCTCCAAATTAGTTACTGCAATTTTTAACTAATTACATTTGTACTAGCAGCGAATGAACATTCCCACTGATCAACATCCACAAAACACTTTGGCATTGTCAGACTTCTTAATTTTTGCCAATTTCATGAGTGAAAAATAGTAACTTATTGAGGTAATTTGCATTTCCCTGATTATTAATCAGGTTGAACATCTTTTCACACGTTTAATTGCCATTTGTGCTTCTCCTGAATTATCTCTTCATGTCATCTGTCCATCTTTCTACTGGGATGTCTCTGTTTCTAATTATAGTAGTTCTTTATATATTGTAGAATGATTTACTAGTGCAATGTTTCACAATATTTCTTTTTCCAGTATTTGTCTTTTCATGTTATGATCAGAAGTTCTTTATTTTAAGGTAATCAAGCATATTAGTCTTGTATGTCACAGTACTTCTCATGTCTTATTTAAGAAATACATTCCTGCCCAAATATCATTAAAAAATCCTATATAAACTTCTAAAAGCTTTAAACTTTAGAATTCTAAGATCTTTTTTTGGGGGGAGGGGCGGTGAGTAACCAGGGATTGAACTCAGGGGCACTTGACCACTGAGCCCATCCCCAGCCCTATTTTGTATTTTAGTTAGAGGCAGGGTCCCACTGAGTTGCTTAGCACCTCGCTTTTGCTGAGGCTAGCTTTGAGCTGGCGATCCTCTTGCCTCAGCCTCCCAAACTGCTGGGACTACAGTCATGCACTACCTTGCCTGGCTTAGAATTCTAAGATCTTAATGCATTAGGAATTCTTTTTCACTTTATCATAAGGAAGAGATCCAAGAGCTCATGTTCCAGCCCCAATTACTGAAGGCCTGTTTTCCAAACCTTGTTTCTTACTTTCATTCTATGAACATTTATTAAATCCATCCTTTGTATCAGGCTTTCTGCTGGAGGTTCAAAATAGAATCAAACAGAATTGGGTATAAAGGTGAAATCAGACAGCTCTATTGCTATACAGATGTAGGTAGTATTACTAGTCACGCACTGGTGGGGAGGGGAGGAAGACCACAGCACACTGCTTAGTCTTGTGTTCCACTATGATTTCTTATGTCCACTGAGTCAACAAGTTACTTATTTTGAAAGTTTTAAATCATGACTACAAATTAATTGATACTCCCCAGACTGTGATGTAGTATCCCTTAAATCTGGGCACCTCACAGTGACTGGTCTTCTATGCTAGCTTTCCATTGCTAAGACAAAATTTAATCAGCTTATGAGTAGGTAAAATTTATTCTGACCTGTAGTTTCAGAGGTTTCAGTCCATGGTTGCTTGTTCTATTGTTTTTCTGGGCCTGTGGCAAAGCAGTTTATCATGGTGTCTGGGAGGTAAAGAGGGAGAACGCAAGGGACTACGATATTAATATTCCATTCCAGGGCATGCCCCCAATGACCTAACTTCATTCCATGAGGCCCCATTTCTTAAAGGCTCTACTACTTTTCAATATTGCCACAGGCTGGGGACGAAGCTTTCAACATATGAGACTTTGGAGATCCAAACTGTAGCATCATCTAATATAACATGCAGTATATGGCAGAAGTGAAGCTATGTAATTCCAAAGACAGGTCAAAGCAGTTCCTATGTGGTTTCCTGGCACACTGGTGTTGGGGCCCTGATTCTCCAGTACAGAAGTCCTTCTACCCTAATGCAGTCATGTGGAAGGAAGCCCAATTAACCCACATAAAGAGATTACTTGAGTATGTCCCCGTGTAATGGACTGAACTTTGTCCTTTCAAAATTAATTTGTTGAAGCCCTAACCCCCAGTGACTCTCTTTGGAGATGGGCTTTTGGGAAGTAATTTAGGTTAAATGAGGTCAAAGGGTGGGTTCTAATTTGAAAAGACTGGTGAAATTATAACAACAAGAGGAGCAGATACTCATCCCCACACCCCAAGCATGCACTGAGGAAAGGCTGTGAGCACACAATGGAAAGGGGCAGTCAGAGAGTTCTCATAAAAACCTGATTATCTGGCATTTCTTATCTCAAGACTTCTGGCCTTTAGAACTGTGAAAAAACTAATTTCTGTTGTTTAAGTCACTCAGTTTATGGTACTTTGTTACAACAGCCCCAGCTGATCAAGCTACCCAGAGACTACACAAAGAAAAAGATCCTTGATCAGCTCCTTCCTGTCCACTTCAAAACTAGCCATCAATATTGGAAACTACATATGTGACCCCAAATCAGAACAGCTCAAATGACTCCTTCCTGAATTTCTGATCCACGGAAACTCTCAGAGAAAATAAAATGACTGCTCCTATTTCTGGCTGCTAAGTTTTGGGGTAACATGTATCAGTGGATGATGGGAATGTTCAGTGGGCAAGATTTGTACAAAGAACTGTGAAATGTAATTTCACATTTCTGTTTATTAACCCTAAGTGAAGAACATAGCGCTAGAAAGAAAATATAGAGCTAGAAAGAAAATTAGATTATTTGGAAATGAAATAAAACTAGGAGAATATAAAGGCCATCACTCATAATTATCCAATTTGGATAAGATTATATTTGATTATTATCTGTTTTGGTGGTATCTTGGGAACTCAGTATTATTATAGTAGAACATGCCTGAAGTTGCTGACTTCATATTAATTTAAGATCTGATTTATCCAGCTTAACGAAGGCTTTGTATAGTATACCATGGTTATCTTATTTTGCTTACACTATTAGCACAGAAAAAGAAACAGATTATTTGGATTATATCTAAGTGTCCTTTAGGTACAAATGGGATGAGACTTACTGCTTATTAAAGTATCCAACCCTAGCAGAAACCTGATACTGATTATTCTACATTATAAAAAATATCGTCTAAATAATTGCCTGTTAAGGAAGGTGTTTTAAAGTAAATAAATTCAAGTAATAACTTTCGCTGAAAAAGGAAACACAATAGTTAATATTTATTATTCTGATATAGCTTTCACAGAAACTTTAGAGGATTCTGAGAACATTCTGAGAATGTTCACCCAATAATCCACATGTAAGAGAGCAATTGCTCTGTTGGAAAGAGGAGAAATTATGGAACCAAATTTGAAACTGCTTTAAATCATTACAATAAAGTCCTGAAATGAACCAGCCCACTCCTTGATGAGCACACTGGTGTCTATCAGGTCACTAGGGTATGCTAGTCTACTCTATATGTAGCATTTATCCCCAAATTCAGTGGGATCAGTTCCAAATGTACACAAAATTTAAAAGTATGACAAGGAAATCTAAAGTAACAGGCTTCCATATCTAATATTCATATGACTCAGAGAAGGTGGAATAGTAACAAAAAAATTATTCCAAATGAGAATTTAGAAGTCATGATATGGTAGTTAAACTGATCTAAGCAATTTAGCGAGACCCTGCCTCAGCAATAAAAGAAAACAAAATCATGGCATTTGCAGGGAAATGGATGGCATTGGAGAAGATAATGCTAAGTGAAGTTAGCCAATCCCCAAAAAACAAATGCCAAATGTTTTCTCTGATATAAGGTGACTGACTCATAGTGCGCTAGGGAGGGGGAGCATGGGAGGAATAGATGAACTCTAGATAGGGCAGAGGGGTAGGAGGGGGTTAGAGAGGGGGCAGGGGGTTAGCAAGGATAGTGAAATGTGATGGACATCATTATCCAAAGTACATGTATGAAGACACAAATTGGTATGAATATACTTTATATAAAGCCAGAGATATGAAAAATTGTGTTCTACATGTGTAATAAGAATTGTAATGCATTCTGCTGTCATTTATTTAAAAAAATCAATAAAAAATAAAAATTAAAATTAAAAAATGGGCTGGGAATGTGGTTCACTGGTTAAGCACCTCTGGATTTATTCTCTGGTACCAAAAAAAAAAAGGAAGGTTAATTGAAGGAAATTGGAAATTCTAGGGAGAAATTCTGAAATACAGTATTTTGAAAATTTAAAGGGGTTTTTACGTAGAACTATCGAGTTCATAATGATTGAAAAGCCTTAGACTTATAGCTGTGCACACTTCTACCCTTGGCCTCTAATTCTTAAGTCAATGGAATTAGCAATTCAATATAAACCTATATGATATAACAATACATATTACTATGTAATGACCATTATTATAATCACTGGAAACAAAATAAAGGAAAATTCAAACTCTATGTATGCTAGGTCAAAGGTCCTTACTTTCTTAATTTTTTGTTTTTGGTGGTGGGCGGGATTGAACTCAGGCCCTCACGTGTGCAAGGCTCTTATTTTACTACTGAGCTACATCTCCAGCCCCCAGGTTCTTAATTTTTTTGTTGTAGGTTTTCTTTCCCTTTAAAGGAATTTATAACACCATTTACCTGTAAATGAACAATTCTCTTAAATATATCTTCTCTCATACTCATCTCAATATCAAAACGAGAAAGTCTTTTGTCAGCTTCAGTACTTGCTGCCCGTACTTCTTTGTCAGAGGACACATGCTGAGGGAAGTCTAGCATGGTTCTTTCCACTGTTGATAGAGAAAAAACACAATGAATACACTGGACCTGCCAAATCAATATTAAAGCCAAATACCTCCTGCCTAGATGAATGATTATGCTGATGTAAGTCTTTCATTTTATAGTTTCTGCAAATATTTCTAAGGCTGTCAAGAAACAACTAATGCAGGACTTGGCTGTTCCACTTGGCATCAACATGAACAGGAAGATGCACTGTGCACTTATCAAAATATTTTTAGGGTATAATTTATAACTGGAAATGTATCAAGATAAAGCCATGTTTCCTATGCTGAGGCATCTTACGTTCCCTCCTTGGGAAGAGGGAACAGGATACATAAAAAGAGAACAATAGACGACAGAACCTACTGGTTGTCAAAGGAATGGATACTAAATCAGAGGCAGCAGCTCTTGAAGGCTGGCCACCAGGTAATATGCTACAGAGAAGGCTGAACCTTGGAGAAAGACGGGCTCAGGGTTGGAAAAGTAGAGACTGCAACCTGGGGTCTGGCAGAGACAAAGCATGTTCAAGAAACAAGCAGATCAATTTAGCAGGATGTGGTTTTCTCAAAATAGAACTTACCACTTTTTTTTTTTTTCTTTACTATAGTCTTCTTAGAGAATCTAATAAAAGTTATGAACCTTATGCCAAATATATACAGCATATAAATATTAAAATACTCTTACAATTTTAGAGAATTCTCTGAAATCTAAACAGACAATAAGGCTGAAAACCATCAAGTTAGCAGCTAGATACTGGGAGATGTTCCTATTAAACAATAATAGTTTGGTGGGGCAGTTAGCATCATGTTGAAATTGGTTGTTGGGTTTATCATATATTTACATTTTGACTTTAACTGGGAAAAACTCTGATTATCAATAAAATAATCAATACTATAGAACAAAACTGAGTAGGTTATAGTGATGTTTGTGGCTATGCTGTGACAATGAACACATTTTGATTATCTTCACTAATTTGCAGATGCTATGAAGAGGTAAAATTTACACATGTGATATAGATAGTAGAGCTATCCTTTACACACAAAGAAATAGTACAAACAAGCTACCTCACTCGTATCTGTCTTCTTAGAACACTGTTAAAATACCTGCCAGAAATATCAAATAAATCCACAGTATATATTTTTAAAAATCAAACTGTGAAATTTTATTTTATTCATCTTTTTTTTTTTTTTGGTACTGGGGATTGAACCCAGGGGCACTCAACCACTGAGCCACTACCCCTGCCCTATTTTGTATTTTATTTAGAGATGGAGTCTCACTGAGTTTCTTAGGACCTTGCTAAGTGGCTAAGGCCAGCTTTGAACTCACAATCCTCCTCTCTCATCCTCTCAAGCAGCTGGGATAACAGGCATGTACCACCATACTACCAAGAAATAGTACAAACAAGCTGCTTCAATCATATCCCGTCCTCTTATAACACTGTTACAAATAAAGCTGTTAAAAAATAACTGCCAGAAATATCAGAATAAATCCATAGTGTATATTTAAAAAAAATCAAACTATACAACTATGCAATCATATTTTAGCGTTTGGTTTAATATGCAATTTTGTGTCTGTTGGCTAAGGAAAAAATGGAACAGAAGACTTAACTTTTAAAACAGACAGTATTTGTTTAAGTGATACAGTTCACTAAACAGTTGCCACTTTGGTTTGCTTTTAAAAATTAGCTCAAAAAGATATTAAGAAGGAATCAAAATTGTCCAAGAACTTAATTGAATAACATAAAATATAGGAACCTAAAACCAGAAACATATTCTTAAACAAACAATAAAGCTGAAAACCATTTCCTTCCTTCCTTTGTCACAAAGACCTGGAACAAGACTTATGTTCTCCTTGCCAGACTATAAACAATGCAGATGCCCAGTCCCTGGCACTAGACTAATGAGATTTTAATGGCTACTGTGAGGTTAATGAACTCTCAGAAAATACATGGACAAGAAAAGGTTGTTTTTTTAAAAAAGTCTACCCTCAAACTGAAAAATTCTGATAATTAATCCACAAGACTTTTTGTTTTCCCTGTTGGTTTTATACCAGTCAAATGCATTACTAGGCAGGCACACCATCCTGGCTACAAATGACTGAAGACTGTAGTAGGCACCTGGACCAATGACAAGGACAAACCACATATTGGCAGAAGACACACATGAAATTACCTGCTGGAAAAGCTCTGCTGAATAGGGACCAACTCCATCCCTTTGACTTTGACTAAGAAGACCAAGCAGATCCTTTCATTCAGAAGTTTAAACTCAAGACTTATAAGATGTAGTGGCCATTACTGAGAGTAGAATAGTTGGTAGTGGTGGTAGATATGGAAACAAATGCAAGAGAAGAGAAAATAGCCAAGACCTTATTACAGTGGGACACAGAGTAGAGAACTCTAGGTGATGAAGAGTTAGTAGGGGCAAAGAAATGATGAGGTCACTAGGACTGTGCTGGATTCTGAATCTTTATGATATCCACATCTGCAGCTTTTTTATATTCTCTTATGACTCCTCAATAGACAGTCAAGTTGTTTCACATTATCCTACAAAATATGTCCAATTCTTAAAAGTAACCAAAGTGCACCTTCATTCCTTATAGCCCAAAGGCTTTCATACATTATTAAAATAATATATGTTCAGTGCAGAGAAAAAATAAAGAAATGCATAAAGAAGAATGCTAAAATCAACAGTAAATCTCTCACCCAAAACATTAATCACTGTGATAGTTGATTTGACTTTATTTTTTGGCATCAGGGATTGATTTTATGTGTTATTTGATGATGTGACTTTTGATGAGACAAACATTTAATTGGTGAAGTTGAAAGTAGACTGCCCTCCAGAATGTGGGGAATCTTGTCCATTCTGTTGCGGGCCTGAACAGAACAAAAAGGTTGACTTCTCTAGCAAGGGAGAACTCTTCAGCAGACTGCCTCAGATTTCATCTGCACAACTGGCTCTCCTGGGTCTTGGGCTTGCTGGTTCATTCTCCAAGTTTCAGACTTGCCACCCTCCCAAGTCATGTTGAGTCAATTCCCTATAATAATCTCTGTTTCTATACATACATACACACACACACACACACACACACACACACACACCCTACAAACGCACACAGGAACACACATCCTATTGGTTCTGTTTCTCTGGACAATGCTCACTAATAAAACTATCATTAAATTTTGCTTATTTCTCTTTTAATTTTCCTTCTGTGTGCTTTTCTCCTGTCTTTAAACACTGCTTCTAACTGTAATTGTAATTTCTACAGAAAGTTATAGAGGATGGATGGGTCATAATTTATATAGCCATCAAATTGTGACTATAAACCCACAATTCTATTGGTTGACACTTTGGGCTTTTTTTGAGCTTTTGCTATAAAAGTGCCTATTTATACATTAATTTATACAAAAATTTTGTCTGTATTTGATTATTTTCTTAGAAAATAATTCCTAGTTGTGGCACTGCTGGGCTAGAGTATAAAATTCTTTTTCTTTCTTTCTTTTCCTTTGTTTTGGTACTGAGAATTGAACCTAGGGGAACTTTACCACTGAGTTACATTCCCAGTCCTTTATATTTTTTATTTTGAGACAGAGTCTTGCTAAATTGCTAAGGCTGGCCTTAAGCTTACAATCCTCCTTTCCTCAGCCACTCAAGTTGCTCAGATTATAAGCATGTTCTACCATGGCTGGCTTAAGGTATGGAACTTAAAAGTTTTGATATTTATTGTCAAAATGGTGTCCAGAAAACAGTGTAATAAGAGTGCACAGTTTATAGCATTTTTGCCAACATAATAAAATGTATAAATCTAGGCAATTTAATTTTTGTTTGTTTTTTTAATTTTAAAATTTTATTTATTTTGCGTTTTGTATATTTTCTTAGGCAATTTAATTCTAAGCAACCAACCATTCTATACAACCAATCTCTCATAAAACTAGAAATCTGACTGCCAAAACTGAAAGCATAAAATGGTTTTAGATGTACACAAAAAGGAAATACAGATATGTTTGTTCATCCTACCCACCTATGTACTTCACTTCTACGTCCGCCAGCACCTGTAAACAGTTCTCATAAGTTACTTCTTCCACGTTGAGCATTCCAACAGCATCATACACCTGTTTGGTCTGTACAATGAGTTCCTCAGTTCTTGTTTTAATTTGCTCTGGTGAAAGATCCCATCTTAAAACATTTCTGCCAGCTGCAGTATAGGAAGACACTGTCTGAAGGGAAGATGTCACTTCTCTTCCTAATGTCATTCTGAGTAAAATCCTGGAACCACCAACTCTAAAAAGAATCAGAAAAAGAACAGAGATAAGTTATTTCAAATGTGTACTATAAAATTAAAGTTAAATCAGAGATATTTTTTAGAAAACAGATCACATTCTCTGAGATGAACACATATGCACGAAACTAAATGCTCTGGTGTTTTTATTTTTTGCATAATTATAGTTTTAATGGAATTCACACTGTCCAAACACTGAATTGCTTATGCAATGAAATCATAGAAAAATAAAATTAGGTATCAGGGACATGATAACTGTCCTCTATAAATTAAGCTAAGTCTTAACTTTGCTAATTTCTACCTACTATATGTATAGACTCAAAAAAATTTTGCAGGTTTAGCAAGTAATCATTTGAGAAATTCTGTTTTTTATACTGAATACCAAATTTTTCTCAAAATTTTACATAAATAATTTTGAATTTACATTATTTTATGTAATTAATTATTAATTTACATTAATAATGATTTGAATTTATTTGTGGAAAATAATCTCTGGTATAGCTATTAATTATAAAAGAAAAATCTATTATTAAGAATAATGATACTTTAAAACACTATAATATTAACATTAAACAACAATAATAATATTGGTGCTGTGAGTTTATCTTTCTCACCACCCCCTTTCTCTCCATTACCCCTGCAATCCCCGCTTACTTCAGAGCTTATAAATACACAAATAAAAATATAAGTGTGTATTTAGGTACTGTTTGAAATGCTTTTCAGGTAGGTCCTACTCAGTCACTCAGTCCTTCAACAGCCTCATGAGTTTTATACTGTAGTTATTCTTGTTTTACTGAAGAGAAAATTAAAATAGTCGTCAACCTAAGACCACACAGCTAGTGAGTGGTAGGGTGGGAGCTAGGATTAAAACCGGGCAGTACAGATCTGGAACCCACACTCTTACCATACTAAACTTCATTCCTCCTATTTTGTAAGACGTAACAACAACTTTATGGGGGTAAGAAGAGCATTATTCCCTTTCTAACAGATGAGGCAGTTGAGACTCAGAGAAGCTAAGTAACTTTTTAAAGGTCATTTGCCCAAAGACTATTTCTGAATATGTACTATACGTTGTCACTGTGACAAGCACTGAAGATAAAATGACAAACTGGCTGAGACGCTGCTACTTTAATTCAGCAGAAGAGACAAATGGATTAATATGCTCTTTTGAGATAAGTGCTATGATGGGGTAAGTAGAGGGAACTCTGAAAGTTCACAGCAGGCATCCATTCTGGTCTTGGGATGGGGAGAGGGTGTTAAGGAAGATTTTCTAGAAGGAGCAATGAATGAGATCTGAACACTGTGTAGGAACGATCCAAAGGGCAAAGGCTGTAAGGAGACAGAAGGCTGAAAAGGTAAATAGGGGTTAGCAAATGAGGAGCTTTAGGAATCACTGAATCATTTATCCTTGTTTTCTGATTTTGGTTTGTTTTTATTTTCTTGCAGTGCTGGGGATTGAACCCAGGGCTTCACACATGCTAGGCAAGCAGTCTAGCACTGAGCTACATTCCCAGCTAAATCTCCAGCCTTTTCTTATTCTGAAAGCCAGGACTGGGACAGGAGAGCCATTTCAAGGTTTTAATCAGGTGAGAGATAATAATAAGGTTTGCCTTTTAGAGAAGTAACTCGAATTATAATGAACTAAAAGATGTGTAAAAGGTCATTCCAGAGAAAAGTTGTCAATGTATTTGGGGCATATGATTAAGGGATACTAAACTAGGAAATAGGGGGATCTGGAGTAATTAAAAAGATATTCAGAAGGCAAAGTAAATATGACTTGGTAAACATCCATTATGGATGTAAGCGGGCAGAGAGAGAGAGTAAAGGATAATGTCCAGGTTTCTGTCCAGCTTAATGGATGGGCTGGTGGTACTGCTTACTGGTATAGGGAACACAGAAGGAAGAGGCAGATTTTCTTTTTCTTTCTTTTTTGGTACTAGGAATTAAATCCAGGTTGCTTAACTACTGATGCACATCCCCAGCCCTTTTTAAAATGTTTTATTTTGAGACAGGGTCTTGCTAAGTCTTTAGGGCCTTGCTAAATTCCTGAGGTTGGTTTCGAACTTTCAGTCTTCCTACCTCAGTCTTCCAAGTCGCTGGGACTATTGGCAGGAAGAGGTGCCTTTAAAGGGGAAAAAGGATAAAATCAGTTTTGAATATGAAAAGTCCGAAGTGTTTATAGCCCGTGTAAATGGAATTCACTAATTGTATATGGTAGTTGTACCTACAGAGGCGGTTGAACAGACCCGAGGGAACTGGCAGAAGGAGAAGAGAAAAACATCTGGGGTCTTAGTATAATCAATGAGGCAGGCAGAAGGGAGACTGGTTAAGATGGGTTCTAGGAAGTTGTGAAAAGGAAGCAGTGAAGAAAGGGAGGACATACACTCAGCACCTGACACTGTGCAGGTGGGAGGAGGACCCCATTCTCAGCGGAAGACAGCAACAGGGAAGTCCCTGGTGACTCTGGTCAGAGCATCATTAGTAGAGTGGCAGGAACACAAGTCAGATTACCACTGAGGACTGGGAAGGTGGCAAGAGCTGAAGAGAGTGGTCGTAAGCAATAATCTCCAGATGTGGCTGTGAAAATAAGGAGAGCTAAAGCAGCATAGCTGGAAGGGGCTGGAGGCACAAAAGGAGGGTGTCTTTCCTGTCTTAAAACAGGAAATACTATCTTCAGCTGTCTCTTTTATGCGAAACATTACTGGTTGATGCTTGAAGACTATTTTCTCACTATGTTTTCATCTCTTCAATCATCAGTTGAGTTATATACTAACTAAGGATGAAGTTAGGTACTAAGGATGTATTAACTAATTAAATGTGTGAAAAATAGGGATCTGTTGTTTCGGGGATGGATAAAAAGTTTTAGAAATACTTTTAAAAATGTATTTACTGGGGCTGGGATTGTGGCTCAGCAGTAGAGCACTCACCTAGCATGCATGAGGCACTGGGTTCGATCCCCAGCACCATATAAAAATAAAATAAAGGTATTGTGTTCACCTACAACTGAAAAATAATGTTAAATTTTTTTTTTTTTTTTGGGACTGGGATTGGGGCTCAGCAGTAGAGTGCTCGCCTTGCACGGGCAGGACCTGGGTTTGATCCTCAGCACCACATAAAAATAAAGGCATTGTGTTGTGTCCATCTACACCTAAAAAATAAACATTAAAAAAAAATTTTTAAATGTAGTTACAAAAAGTCAATTAAAAAAATTGCCATTATAGCTGGGTGCAGTGGCACATGCCTGTAATACTAGCAGTTTGGGAGGCTGAGGCAGGAGGATCATGAGTTGAAAGCCAGCCTCAGCAACAACGAGGTGCTAAGCAATTCAGTGAGACCCTGTCTCTAGATAAAATACAAAACAGGGTTGGGGATATGGCTCAGTGGTCAAGTGCCCCTGAGTTCAATCCCTGGTATCAAAAAACCAAAAGGAACAATAATAACAACAACAACAAAACAAACAAACAAAAGCCCTTTGCCGTTGTAAAAAACTGGGAAAAACTCATGAAGACTCAGAAGGCTTCTAAACTCAGGTTACTTCTGTGCACCTTTAAAATTCTTGTTCTACACTTAAGAAATTGAACCTGGAAATTAAGGATGATGCATTTTAGGTGTAGTTTTTGCAAGGACAGTGAAATGTCAATTCAAGTCATGCATATGTAACAAAAAGACCTTGGTCTTAGATCAAAACATCCAGGAACATACACTTGTGTTTTAAGTTTGAATATAATATTTAAGGAAATTATTTTTTCTATTATTCTACTTAAAACCATTTTTTTCAATTAATTATTAAAAGACATGGAGAGCCAAGATTCCCACAGAAGCAGGAAGAAATGGGATATAAAAATAGGCAGAGTCAGGCATGGTGGCATATGCCTATAATCCTAGAGACTTGGGAGGTTGAGGCAGGAGGATCACAAGTTTGAGGTAAGCCTGGACAATTTAGATACTGTCTCAAAAAAAATGAAAAGAACTAGATGTGTAGCTCAGTGGTAAAGTAACTCAGTGTCACCAAAAAAAAAAAAAAAAAAAAAGAGAGAGAAAGAAAAAAGAAACCACACAGACACACAGGCAGAGCAATTTGTGTTAGGAAGATTCTCATCTCAATAACATTAATGAAATGGGTCAAACAGGAATAGTTAGATGATAATAAAAATGTGAGATATTTAAAAATCTCATAATATTTTGGATATTTCCAGCAATAAGGTAACATCCAGAGTATTTTCTTGGAAGTAGATGGTTGATATAAACAAGTTGAAGTGTACAAGGAACTGAGAGTCTACTTTGAACAAATTGTCTAATGAACACTGGAGTCAGCAAATGATGGTTGGCCTGCCTGGGAATAGATTTTTTTTGGGGGGGGGAGGGAGGATAAGGGGATTGAACTCAGGGGCACTTGGCCACTGAGCCACATTCTCAGCTCTATTTTGTATTTTATTTAGAGACACTGTCTCACTGAGTTGCTTAGCACCTTGCTTTTGCTCAGCCTGGCTTTGAACTTGTGATCCTCCTCCCTCAACCTCCCGAGCTGCTGGGATTACAGGTGGTGCCCAGCTGGCCGGGGAATAGAAAGGAAGACTGAACAAGGAACTAAAGTTTTTGAAGGGAGAGGAACCAAACCATAGTTGGAAGAGGTTATCATGTGTGATACATAGAATGGTGAAACCAGACTGACTCAAAGGTGTTCTGTTTTTTGTGATGCTGGGGACTGAACCCAGGGCCTTGCATGTGCACTCTACCACAGAGCTACATCTCCAGCCCACACAAAGGTGTTTTATACAGTGGTGGAGGTACTGATCTAGGAGCACCACTGAAGGTGGAGGTGTCAGCTAGGGAGCAGAGATGTTGATGGTTCCTCCTAATTTTGTGGTATAGGGTACAGAGAACAGATGGATGTAGTGGAAACATTTTCTTTATGGTTGAGTGGATTTTACCAAAGGTCAAGAGGGGAAAGGAAGATCTAGGGCAGAACATAAAAAAGTAGATTTTATCTATCCTGGGAAAG